AGTCGATGGCGACATAATTCGTCAGCATTAATTTTGATCTTTTCCTCCAACACCTTATCAGATCGTTCTTCCCAAAATAATGGAAGGTCGTTGTCATTTCCAGTTATATCGCCAAGGATTTCTTACTTTTTCTCGATGACTCTTTGAAGTAAGAACGACCGTGCGTCCTTTCACATTCCTCTCTTCAGCATCTCCACCATGCCTAGCTGGACGTAACCGGAAGAGTTGATGCTGCCATTGAGCACTCTGTTCGGGCTTCAGTGTCAGTCGGTTAACAGCTAAACTTGGTCCCTAATCCTGTCCCCAACAGTGCGTTCTTATTCGTTAATTATATTGGATCTTTCATTGCTCTTGCATCTTCCTTCATCATTTTTTAAATAGTTAAACGTCTTTAATCAACATAAAGACCGTACCAACAACCGCTTATTTTTTATAGAAGTATTCGCTCCTTCCGAAGTGACGGAACTCTCGTTTCTGATTTGATTCATTTTCAGGATTTCTTTTCTGCTTGTTTTACACATAGTCTAAACATCTAAAATCCAATGATAAAGCATATTTTTAAATGAATCATCCAAAAAGATATTAAAAGGTTCCATCACTTTTCTGTTCTCTTTTCCGGTCAGTGACAGCACTTCGACTGAACAACTCCTTCGCCTACTTTTTATCCGTCGTAGCCTGCTTCATCCGTTAGATTTCCGTGACCGAAAGACAGCATAACATTCAGTAGCCGTCATAAGCTATTTCAATGCAGCTAACTCATTTATATCAGGGCGTATTGTCTTTCTTTCAAAGCATTCTAATTATCAAATTAAATCTTTCGATACTGTCTGCTTTTGTACTTGAGCCATTCCAAATATGAGACTTTTTCCTTTTCTACAGAAGCTGCAGCAGAGTAGTGCTAACAGTGATACCATAATAGCTTCCCGCAATATTCACTTATAACACTGCTATGGATTCCGGAAACAAGCGGAACTCATTTAGTTTTGTCTTAACCTCATTCATGTAGATTTCATTTTTTTACCATCAGCTGTGAAAATTTGTTTTTGAAGAGCCCTTATACTTTTTACGTCAGGTTGTACTTTCACAAAGGGTTGTCTCACAAGGATCGACAACTCATTGATGTTTTCACGGTGGTTACTATTGTTCTGTTTATTAATATTATTATGCATAGATGCTGCTCCACCAAATCGGGATACGGCAGATAGTTTACAGAATGTTGACAAGCAACGGCAATGGAAAGAGGAACAAAGACAAAGGGAGGAGGCACAGGTAAATTTAGCTTGTATATTTTTGCTTTTTGCTACCTTTCACTACTTTCACTAAATTGTCGTACCAGATCGAAACTATTAAAGTATGAATTTTTAAAATGAATTGAATGAAGAGAGATAAGAAAAAAGGGCTTTTAGCAGAAAATTATTTTGACCAAATGAATCCATACATACGGGAGAAGTAAATTACTTGAAAAAGTAACACTTAACTATGTCTACTTTCTGATAGAAAGTTAGCTGTATATGTTGAGCAGAAGAAAACATTAATTCTCTGCATTGTGTGAAGTTAATTTTTCTTTAAATTGTGATTGGGATTCATAATTTAGAAAGAAGGGATAGCGAAATATGTGAAGCATGTGAAGTATCTGGATACCGTGCTCAATATCTTACGAACAACACCGCAGTGGAACGAAATTATGCAAACTATGACACAAGAAGAAATTCGGGTTCCTTTTGCTATTTCGCTATCATTCTAATTACCTTTGATTAACTCACGCCAAGTGTTATTGTTCCAATTGCTGCAGTTTTGCGCTCTTCTCATTCAGAACTTTGTTATATACAGTCCTAACTTTTTGAGAATTATCCAAGCACGAATGTTTTTCTCATAGATAGTCTTCCATAGTTTGGAACCTCATCATCAATATGATTTTGCAAAATTTAATTAGTAAACAGATTTTCTTTCAGTTCACTTACCTATTTGCTAGTATTATGTTATCATTCGCAGTGTATTAATAATAAATTATCATTTACTTTATAGAGTGGTAAAATAGCTGAAATGGTCGATAAGTTAGAACCGCATATTATTGAACAGCTACTGAAGGCTAAAAAATTGGAATTGCGCCGTTTAGAAGATGAAATGAAAAATCAGTCGAGTGCAGATGGCGGTGCTCTTCATAATATCGAAGTTTGTGAAATTCTTATTGTTTGGTTTCAAATAAACTGAGAAATCTTGCGGTAGTTTTGAGCTTATTGATCTACAAGAATCTTTATTTATAGTTTACAACAGTTCAAGAAACTCTTTCTACTTTACTATATTGATATTGTCATTTCTTTCGTAGCGGTTTCTCATATATAACATTGTTTTAATAGCCGGTTCAGCACTGTTGAAGCTGCATAAATAATGAGTTAATGGTGAGCGTTTAAAGATATCATTTCGTTATAGTTATGTTTAAACAATTCATTATTTCTGGAGAGTTTTGCTAGCAGAATTATTTCGATTATTTCCTTCAATTATTTTCGTCTTTCAATTATCAAAACACGCTGAACCCAAGTTATGCGGTAGTGAAATCATAAAGTGACAGTAATGATTAGAATTATTCAAAAAATGTGGCTTGGAATTTACATAATGAATACTTTGTAGCTTAAGTCAATTAAAATCTTCAGTCGTTCGTATATTTTCCTATCCTTTGATGTAGAAGATTAATGAAGAAGCTTATTATGAAGGTACTGGGTAATAGGTTATTTGAAGATTTGAGGAGATTCTATGCTTTTATAATTTTAGATACCAGATCATTTGGATTTCAACAATTTGGAGACATTCAGCCAAAAAGATCTACGCAAACTTGTCGTCAAAGTTGGTTTTCCCTTATTCTTTGCTGAATTTTATAAATTATTTATTATAAAATAATTTGCAGACAGTAGCTATTATGGATGAACTGGAACAAAAACGAAGACAGGACTTTAAACAGTATGAAATGAAAAAAAGAGCGGAAGAAGATCATAAAATGGTATATATCACTTTATTATTTTTACAGTAGTTTAGAATAAATGGGGAAAACTCCATTCATTAGAATCATTTCTTATCGCTAGACTTGTCCTTGTAGCAATAAAATAAAACACATCCCGCCTTTTAATGTGCTTAATGTGCTCTAATAGCGTCGTTTTATATTAGACTTTTGCTGAGTTGGTTTTTAATAAGCAAGTGAAATTTATATAGATTCATTTGTCGATGTAAATCATTTTTTTGAATGGAAGAGTTCAGTTTAAATCCAATGTTTTATCATAAATAACAAAACGTTAGATTTGATACATAAGGCAGGCACAAATGATTGAAACGGAACGAGAGCAATACAGAAAACAAATGGAAGAGCAGAGGCGGCGACATAATGAGCATGAGCCATTGAAGCATCCAGGAAGTCGCAATCAATTAAAAAAGGTTTGGGAAGATACTGATAAGGTATGTATTTATTAAATAAGATAACAAACTACTCTGGATTATGATTTTTTCCTTTTTCTTTTCAGATATTCTAAAATTCACTTCTTATTTTTCTGTCATTTAAAAATTGTGCATTCTAACACCTGCTTTCTTGAACGAACAAGTAACTGGAAAATGTATTTTTGAAGACGTATAGCGGAGTGATATATTTATTCAGAATTTTGCGCAGGAATAACCTAGTTTAAGCTCTATGTTTAATTTCCTATTTTCAGTAATTGAAATGCAAATTTGAGACTTTATTTTGCAGCTTGATAAAGATACATATGACCCAACAACACTCTTTGCCTTGCATGATAGAAATAATGATGGTTACTGGAGCTATGATGAGTTGAATAGCATCTTTTTACCAGAAATCGAGAAACTTAATGATTTTTCTGACCTTGAAAGGTAAATTTTCGCATTCTCAAGAATGAGGGTTTGATAATGTGATCCCCTACAGTCAGGAAATTGTTTACTATGAGCCAAGTCTTGATATCTTTTACCGATTTTTTGTTTTGTTTAAAAGTAAGTTGTATTCTTCAAAAGTTGATGCACTCGTGAAAATCATTCAAGATTTTCAAACCTATTAAAGATCAGAAGAAATAAGGAACTCCATAAATTGCTTTTAGGCTTGAGGAGTTATATCGGATGCGTGATCATGTAATGAAACAGATGGACACAGATAGTGATCATCGTATTTCACTTGCTGAATTTCTTGCGGTTTGTCTTATTGTATTTTTTCTATCGAAAAAGATAACGTTTCTTTACATGTGCTACCGATGTTTTAAATTTGAATTAACTTCAGGATAGAGAGGCGCAAGAGGAAAAACAGGATCAAGGTTGGCAAGATATTGGCGACAAAGAACAATATACCAAAGAAGAATTAGAAATTTTTGAAAAAGAATATGCAAAGCAACAAGGATGGGGTGAATATGCCTATTCGACACCTGTGACTACTCCTAATCCTGGTCAAATGAATCATCCTAACCAAGTACTAGTTCAGAGGTTTGATAGACCTGCCGACCAGCGTAGTAATATGGACATACAGCAATCCCACCAAATTCCAGTGCAACAACATACTAAATCTATTCAACCTGGGCAGCGACACCAGGTGGATGAGGTTAACATCTAAGAATTTTAGGCTATGAAATTGCCAACAAGATGTTTTATATTAAAGTTATTTTGTCAATGAGAGGTCGGAGTTGAAGCAATTCTCGTGTTAAGGAGTAAATCATTCTTGCCTGTTGCACAGTTCTGTCTAGTACAACTATAGTTCTCATAATTACTTTTTTGATGAAAGGTACATTTGCTCCTAATCGTTTTTTATTAATATACACTCGACTAATTTCAGCAGCCGATACAACAGCACATTGACAGAACTTATGGTGTCTGAATATCGACACAACTTGATGTTATACTAGGATGTCACGGTCTCTGGTAATCTTTTCGCGCACATTGCTTTTTCTTGTGTTTTAAAGCATTGGAATCACTTTTTTTGGAATTGCTGTCAGTTATTTCCGTTTTCCACATATAGGATTTCAGTTTTTCTTTTCTATCAGCACTCAAATCGCCTCATTTCTTATTCTCTTCTTCCGTTTCTTTTTTCATGGTTTTTCATTTCGCACTATTATTTGTTGTGAAAGCGTTGTGGTTGTTGATTCACAAACAAATTATTTGTTAAGATTTATTTTACAGTTGGGAATTTTATTCATTTCCACAGATGAAATGGACAGCAGAATATATGATGGCAGTGGACGGTAGGGATGAATAAGTGCTAAGAACATTGAAAGGTTCGAAGAAATGCAAAAGGATAGCAAGCGCTGATACCCAGATTTGAGTGTTTATATACCCAACATTGGGGACGGCGCCAGGATCGTAGATCATGGGAAAGGAGAGGATTGTATGATTACTTGCTAGTTATATTGTTCCCACATGAGAGACAAAGAACAGTAGCAAATGCGTGGTAAAGTTATCCCTCACAATGATATAGTAACACAGATCATATTACAAGAAATAACAGAGATCATAATACAACAAATTTTAACAAAGCAAAATTATGAGGCATGGCTTTCTTAATCCAACTGTCGATGACATAATTCTCAACCCATGTGAATAATTTTATCACAATATTTCGGTAATTTTGCGGCAGTTTCATCATGCAAAGCAGTCTCCTCTCTTATTCTATACCTTTAGGTTTGCAAGATCTTGAATCTCATTTTCTTAGAAACGATATTTCAAAGAACTTGAAGGCGCTTTTCTTATTTGCAAAATGTGATAGGTAGCTCATTATTCATTATTTGAGTAAGTCGTGATGTTTCGCCTTTTGTATCTAGTTCATCCCGCAGCAGTACATATGAATAACGGTCCTTATTATCAAGCAACATCGGGAACCACATTGACTGTGAAATAAAGATAAACGTTAAGTATTACATTTTTCTTGAAGCTATAGAGTTCAGTTTGGAAGACTGAGGAATGAATATATCCGGAAGTGATATATGAAATCTTTTGCATTATCGAGTAGTTTCGACATTTGCAATGGTTTTATCTTTTTTCAAAAAAATATAGTTTGCTTTGTTTGATGAATTAGACTGTATTTTGTAGTCAGAAGTGAACCAGAGCCACGATATTCGTGATGGAATTTATTTATAAAAATCAAAATCCCGAAGATTTTACATTGAGAATGAAATTACCGGCAACAGTACTTAATTTCAATACCGATTCACTTTCTAAATAAGTCATCTCACCAAATCATTATGTTTGCTTAATTGTCATTATGATGTTGGAAATGAAAAGGAAAAACTAAAAGAATACGCCTGTACCATGTTACAATCCTAGGAACATTGTTTAATCCTAACTCAAGTGTTCGGACAGAGTTCATCAAACTATTATAGTATTACAGTCATATAGATTCTGCAGCATGAATCTTTGGAGCGACTGAACAGGGAAAATAAAGGTGGCAGTAAAATAACTTTAATATTTTTTCTGAAACTATTGGAATAGTTACGTCAGCGTCAAAGAGGGATTGACGGATGTCTTCACATTTCTTAAAAGAAGGTAACTTGAAAAACAGTTTACACAGAACTGCAAAAAATGGAGTAAAATCTACATCTATGGTGTCATGTAGAACTAGAATGTAGGAATGAGCAGTAAAAATTATGTGCAATTCCCGTGAAATGAAAAATAAGCATAATTTCGAAATACGAATACCTAAGATATCCGGAAACAATTAAATTGATTCACTTTCCCATTACCATAGTAAAATAAGATTGAAACAGTAAATATTTGATAAAAAAGGAAAGCTAATAAAAGTGACATGAAGCACTGGGAATTTTTGCCTGGATTCGTTGCTCATCGCCAGGATACATGTTGTCAACAAAATATTACAAGTATTTAATGAGTAGTAGAGAAGTAGCAAGAAAGTGACCAACAGAGGAAATCAGCAGAAAAGCTCCTTGGCAAGGTTTGGCTAATCCGCGTCACACAATCCTCTTGCTGGTTACAATCATTTGTCCAGCTCAGGTCGCAGCTGGACGTACTTTAACCTCAACTGCCACCACCCATCGGAGGGCATGACATTCCGGAAGAAAATGCTGGACGCCCTATAGCACGCCGTCCTGTTCCATACCCGTGATCACCTAAAATATAGAAAACCCAAATCAATCTGACCGTAATCGAGATTTTTAAATACAAATTAAAATTAAAAACCTGCTGATTAAACTACGGAATGACGCAACTTAAATACTTCTATATACTATAAACTTTCACCTCTTGGAGGTCCGCCTGGACCACCACTTCCAGGCCAACGGTTATTACTACTCCAATCGTGTCTGCGTCGAGATGGCCTATCTCTTGTTTCACCAATCAGCGGTCCAAAAAGTGTTTGAAAACTGCAAAATAGTAAAAAAACCTCGCCTCAACCGTTATAAAGGTAACATTCAGAATTGGATTTGCTATCCATCGCCAGGTTGCATGGTACGTCAATGAAATATTACAAGTATTCAATGAGTATTAGAGAAACAGCAAGAAAGTAACCAACGGTAGAAATCAGCAGAAAAGCTCCCCAAGCTAATTTGTTTAATCTGTACCACACTGTCCTCATGCTGATCACAAATTCATTTGTCAAGAAGCGAAAGAAAAGACAAAAACTTACAAATACAAAAAAAACGCAAAAAACTGCCAAAGTAAATTGAATGTCGACTTTTTCGATTCAAGAATATTTCCATCTGAAACAAAATCCAAAAAGAGAATAGAAGAGTGCTAAATAATGATGCACATATTCCATTCCATGATTTCATTCACAAATTTTTTCTACTCTAACAACAGCATTTCAAAACAGATATCACAGAAAAGAGGGATGATCAACCATGCAGACTTCATTTTAGAAAATTGAGCAGCTGTGAAAAAAACCATCTCTACATTTTTCAAATTTAATTAAGTCAATTCTTCATTCACTGGTAGTAAGCAGTGAAATAAAACCTAAGAATGAACTTTGGGGAGTCGAACTGATAGAATCGAAAGTATGGGGTATGAAAACTTACTGGAGTCGATATATGGCATTCTTGCTTACAACTGAAATAAACAATTTTACAATAAGAATCCATAATTCTCAATCAAAAACAATATGGATGAGATAAGAAATTTATAGGAATTCTACTTCATGTATATGTGTTTGAAACAAACATCTCCCACATGACTCTATTATTACGCAACCTCGTAATATCCGTCCGGTAAGAATGTGACCATTCTAATGGTTTCCAAAAAGATTCTACTAAGCAGTGGAAGTGGCCAATCTGAGTTGGACTGACACGGATTAAAAGTACGCCCAAAACAAGGAAGCTCAATATTCTCGATGACGTCTACTCACATCACAACCTCGCGTATAACTTATGTTACCTTGAGTTACCCTGACTATGAAAACGGCGTTCCAGGACGAAGTGGAACTTCAAAGGACACTCAGCAAACAAAACCTTCACACTGAAGGTTAATGAAATATATGGAATCGACGATTCCTAATACAACAAAGTTATTTAAAGGGAGAGACTCACTTTCATAGTTAAGCGCTGCGCATGAAGAAA